GGTGTAAAGTTATATAGAACAGCCCTGTATAAAGACCAGCTCTTACCAACAAATTAAAAGAAATGCCATTTTTTACGCCAGTGTAAAGAGGAAAACATGTTTTCATAGAGTGTGACTTGGCAAAGAAGAATGAAAACACTTCAAAGAGCAATCATACAGAAAAAGATGCTTAAAATACTTTCTATGTTAATAAAACTAATTTCTAACTTAATGCATTGAATGACTTGTAGTATACTTTATAAATCCACAAGTCTTCCTGCCGTAGATGTATCATACCTACGGTAGATCTGAATAACCTTGGAATCTGCTAAGCCAGTGGTCAAGTCACATTGATCATATTGCATTTAAGTTGACACAATGAGTTCTGGTTACAAAGGCACCTTTTATGCGATATATGGATTTCAGCTGGTACTGCCCTGTGGGCCTCATATATATTGTTTGATCTACTCCATTTTTATGCTAAGGAGTTAATACCTATCTTATCAGCATGCACATCCAGCACCCTGTGGTACCCTGTTAGTGTGAATAATTCACTATTTATAATAGGATATGGAGTAGGCTCTTAACTCTTTATTCCCAGTGGCTTATGGATACTATACACAGACAATCATACTTGCCTGCAACAAAAGTTAATTGGTTTTTATCCAATTTTGAATCGAGTTTACAAAATAAGGCAATACAAAAGCAAAGGCTATGCGTGGTGCCAGAACCCCTAGCAACCTGACTTCCTTCTACTAACCAAACTATGTCATTTGACTGTCTGCTATTGGTGACAGCAGTTTGCACTCCGTCACTTCACTTTGCACTTCTTAAGCAATTACCTGTGACTGCAATTTAACTATCTAGGCTGCGAATGGATTGTGACAAATAATGAGCATTTAAATGTTGCAGACAAATACATTACCCTGCAACAGAAGATACTAGGGCTAACTTTAAAAGCTAGAGTAAAGTGGTCCTTTTTCAACTTTCCAGTACTGGTGAGGGAATGCAAGGAAAAAGTAGGTTGCCAATGGACAACAGTGATTTTTTATTCCAGTTTGCACCAGTTTTCATGAGTCAACTCCTGAGAGTAAATAATCTCTTAAGTGACAGGAAGAACCATTTACAGCACAAAAAATAGACAACAGATAAGGTGCCCACCAGGAGAAGATAAGGGGGCACCATACAGTGCCCAGATTACAATGCCATTTTCTCTACAGCTCAGGGGAGTCATCTAGTGACAACTGTTTGTTGGAAAGAGAACAAATCTAAGCAAACAAGTACTTTTCCTGCACATGCCAATAAACCCGAGCTCATCTTTCCTGAGCTCAGTACTGTGTTTAGTCTGTAAGAGAGAAACAGCAACCCACACAATGAGGACTACTAAGCAGGAGGCTGTCTATGCCACCTACTCCTTTCTTGCTCCAGATCTCAGTTTTCTTCTCCAACAAGTTTTAAACTAGTATATATTTTTTTCATAGCATGCATTCTAAAAAACAAAGTATGGGCTGATGATCACCAGCCAGTCTCCCACACTCCTCTCTACATCTCCAGACCCCCATAAGAGGCTCCCACCTTGTCTGCCTTACCTTGTGCAGAATCCACTGGCAGAACATGGCAAAAGCCCAGGTGAGGAGATCCATTGTCTTAGGAGAACTGGTCTCCACTTAGAGAAGGGAAGCTTGTGGAATCTTCCTAGCTCAGGGCACAGTCACCTGTCCAGAGATCAGGAATCAGACCTTTCCCCATTGAACCAGCCACTGTCTGTCTATGGTGAAGGTGAGAAGAGGACAGGCAAGGTGTGGGGTGCTGGAGTTTTTTTTTTTATGGAGAAGAGGAAGAGGCAGAGGGAAAGAATGAGAAGGGGGGAAGTGTGAGATTACAGTGTTATCCACTTGCTTTGAGGATGTGGAAGTGTGATGTGTTACGGGAGAAAGTCCAAAGAACGAGTTTCAAGGTCCATTGCCACCCCCAGCCCCTCCAATGGTGGGAAAGAGAGACCCCCTCCTTTCATCATTTCCTATTCCTCCAATCGTCCTCTCGCTGGAACTGCCTTGTCCTAGCCTCTCCATCCCTCCCATCTGATGCTGTCTGAGCTCTGCTCCGAGTATTGTGTCTCTGCGATCCGGCTCTGGTGGAGATAGGTAGAGCCGGGCTCCTGGAGGAGAAGCTCCCAGAGCGGCACTCAGCGTTTCCTCCATGTAGGAGAGCAGCCTGAGCATCAGAGCCCAGCACTAAGTGTGCACCTGGCTCTCGTCTGTCATCAGTGCCTTCACAATGTACATGGATCGTGCCCTGATCAGCATGTGTGCACCGAGCTGTCATCTCATCCCCTCTATACCTGTGTTACACGACCAGACAGCCTCTAATATATACAGCAGTGCCAGTGTGTCCTCCGTCCTGTCATACAAACCGGTGCCAGTCTGGTAGCTGTCCGGTAATATGTGCCAGTGTGTGATCCACCCTGCAATGTACAGCCGTGCCAGAGTGTGATCCACCCTGGAGTGTACAGCCGTGCCAGAGTGTGATCCACCCTGGAATGTATAGATGTGCCAGTGTGTGATCCACCCTGGAATGTATAGATGTGCCAGTGTGTGATCCACCCTGGAGTGTACAGCCGTGCCAGTGTGTGATCCACCCTGGAGTGTACAGCCGTGCCAGAGTGTGATCCACCCTGGAGTGTACAGCCGTGCCAGTGTGTGATCCACCCTGGAGTGTACAGCTGTGCCACCCTGCTGATCCTCCGGCTGGAGTAATATAGTATGCAGTGTGTTAGCTACCCTGTGGTATATAGCAGCTGCCAGTATGTAAATCCACCCTGTAGATATAGCACGTGCCAGTATGTAATCCACCCTGTGGTATATAGCAAAGCCAGTATGTAAATCCACCCTGTGTATATAGCAGTGCCAGTATGTAATCCACCCTGTAGTATATAGCAGTGCCAGTATGTAATCCACCCTGTAGTATATAGCAGTGCCAGTATGTGATCCACCCAATAATATATATCAGTGCCAGTATGTGATCCACACTGTAATATATAGCAGTGCCAGTATGTAATCCACCCTGTAGTATATAGCAGTGCCAGTATGTAATCCACCCTGTAGTATATAGCAGTGCCAGTATGTAATCCACCCTGTAGTATATAGCAGTGCTAGTATGTGATCCACTCTGTAGTATATAGCAGTGCCAGTATGTGATCCACCCAATAATATATATCAGTGCCAGTATGTGATCCACACTGTAATATATAGCAGTGCCACTATGTGATCAACCCAATAATATACAGCAGTGCCAGTAGATGATCCACTCTGTAGTATATAGCAGTGCCAGTATGTGATCCAGCCAATAATATATAGCAGTGCCAGTATGTGATCCACACTGTAATATATAGCAGTGCCAGTATGTAATCCACCCTGTAGTATATAGCAGTGCCAGTATGTGATCCACCCAATAATATATATCAGTGCCAGTATGTGATCCACACTGTAATATATAGCAGTGCCAGTATGTAATCCACCCTGTAGTATATAGCAGTGCCAGTATGTAATCCACCCTGTAGTATATAGCAGTGCTAGTATGTGATCCACTCTGTAGTATATAGCAGTGCCAGTATGTGATCCACCCAATAATATATATCAGTGCCAGTATGTGATCCACACTGTAATATATAGCAGTGCCACTATGTGATCAACCCAATAATATACAGCAGTGCCAGTAGATGATCCACTCTGTAGTATATAGCAGTGCCAGTATGTGATCCAGCCAATAATATATAGCAGTGCCAGTATGTGATCCACACTGTAATATACAGTATAGCAGTGCCAGTAAGTGACCCACCTTGTAAAACAGTGCCAGTATGTGATCCACCCTGTAATATATAGCAGTACCAATATATGATCCACCCAATAATATATAGCAGTGCCAGTATGTGATCCACCCTGTAGTACATAGCAGTGACAGTATGTGATCCACCCAATAATATATAGCAGTGCCAGTATGTGATCCACACTGTAATATATAGCAGTGCCAGTATGTGATCCACCCAATAACATATAGCAGTGCCAGTAGATGATCCACCCTGTGGTATATAGCCGTGCCAGTATGTGATCCACCCAGTAATATATAGCAATGCCAGTATGTGATCCACCCTGGAATATATAGTTGTGCCAGTATGTGATCCACCCAATAATATATAGCAGTGCCAGTATGTGATCCACACTGTAATATATAGCAGTGCCAGTATGTGATCCGCCCAATAATATAGAGCAGTGCCAGTAGATGATCCACCCTGTAGTATATAGCAGTACCAGTATGTGATCCACCCAATAATATATAGCAATGCCAGTATGTGATCCACCCTGGAATATATAGCTGTGCCAGTATGTGATCCACCCAATAATATATAGCAGTGTCAATATGTGATCCACCCTGTAGTATATAGCAGTGCCAGTATGTGATCCACCCAATAATATATAGCAGTGCCAGTATGTAATCCACACTGTAATATATAGCAGTGCCAGTATGTAAACCACCCAATAATATATAGCAATGCCAGTATGTGATCCAGCCAATAATATATAGCAGTGCCAGTATGTGATCCACACTGTAATATATAGCAGTGCCAGTAAGTGATCCACCTTGTAAAGCAGTGCCAGTATGTGATCCACCCTGTAGTATATAACAGTACCAATATGTGATCCACCCAATAATATATAGCAGTGCCAGTATGTGATCCACCCTGTAGTATATAGCAGTGCCAGTATGGGATCCACCCTGTAATATATAGAAGTACCAGTATGTGATCCACCCTGTAATGTATAACAGTGCCAGTATGTTATCCACTCTATTATATAGCAGTGCCAGTATGTGATCCACCCTGAAGTAAATACCAATGACAGTATGTGATCCACACTGTAATATTTAAGATTGCCAATATGTGATCCACCCTGAAGTATATACCAATGCCAGTATGTGATCCACCCTGTAATATATAGCAGTGCCCTGGGGCGGACTGACAACTCATAGGGACCCTGGGCAATAGGGGATCATGGGGCCCCTGTGTCCTCGCCCCCACCCAAAAAAGCCTATGAAAAAGCCAATGAAAGGTACCAGGGGCATCTCATGGGGCCCCCTACTGACCCCAGGCCCACGGGCAGTGCCCGACTGCTCAAATGGTCAGTCCGCCCCTGACAGTGCCAGTATATGATCCACCCTGTAGAATATAGCAGTGCCAGTATGTGATCAACCCTGTAATATATAGCAGTGCCAGTATGTGATCCACCCTGTAATGTAAAGCAGTGCTAGTATGTGATCCACCCTGTAATGTATTGCAGTGCCAGTATGTGATCCACCCTGTAGTATATAGCAGTGCCAGGATGTGATCCACACTGTAATATATAGCAGCACCAGTATGTGATCACCCTACAATATATATCAGTGCCCGGATGTGATCCAACCTGAAGTATATATCAATGCCAGTATGTTATACACCCTGTAATGTATAGCAGTGCCAGTATGAGATCCACCCTGAAGTATATACCAATACCAGTATGTGATCCACCCTGTAATATATAGCAGTGCCAGTATGTGATCCACCCTGTAATGTAAAGCAGTGCTAGTATGTGACCCACCCTGTAATATATAGCAGTGCCAGTATGTGATCACCCTGTAATATATCAGTGCCAGGATGTGATCCACCCCAGGGGCGGACTGACCATTCGAGCACTCGGTGCCATGGGCCCCATGAGATGCCCCTGCACCTTTCAATGGCTTTTTCATAGGCTTTTTTGGGTGTGGGCGAGGACACAGGGGCCCCATGATCCCCTATTGCCCAGGGGCCCCATGAGTTGTCAGTCGGCCCCTAATAGCAGTGCCAGTATGTGATCCACCCTGTAATATATATCAGTGCCAGGATGTGATCCACCCTGAAGTATATGCCAATGTCAGTATGTGATCCACCCTGTAATGTATAGCAGTGCCAGTGTGTCGTCCGTCCTATAATACAAACCTGTGCCAGTCTGTTAGCTACCCGGTAATATATGCCAGTGTGTGATCCACCCTGAAATATATAGCTGTGCACGTGTGTTAGCTACCCGGTAATATATAGCAGTGCCAGTATGTGATCCACCCTTTAGTATATAGCAGTACAGGTATGTGATCTACCTTGTAGTATACAGCAGTGCCAGTATGTGATCTACCTTGTAGTATATAGCAGTGCAGGTATGTGATTCACCTTGTAGTATACGTCAGTGCCAGTGTGTGATCCACCCTGTAGTATATAGCAGTGCCAGTAGGTTATCCACCTTGTAGTATATAGCAGTGCAGGTATGTGATCCACCCTGTAGTATATAACAGTACAGGTATGTGATCCACCTTGTAGTATATAGCAGTGCCAGTATGTGATCTACCTTGTAGTATACAGCAGTGCAGGTATGTGATCCACCTTGTAGTATATGTCAGTGCCAATGTGTGATCCACCCTGTAGTATATAGCAGTGCCAGTAGGTTATCCACCTTGTAGTATATAGCAGTGCAGGTATGTGATCCACCCTGTAGTATATAACAGTACAGGTATGTGATCCACCTTGTAGTATATAGCAGTGCCAGTATGTGATCTACCTTGTAGTATACAGCAGTGCAGGTATGTGATCCACCTTGTAGTATATGTCAGTGCCAATGTGTGATCCACCCTGTAGTATATAGCAGTGCCAGTAGGTTATCCACCATGTAGTATATAGCAGTGCAAGTATGTGATCCACCCTGTAGTATATAACAGTACAGGTATGTGATCCACCGTGTAGTATATAGTAGTGCCAGTATGTGATCCACCTTGTAGTATATAGCAGTGCCAATATGTGATCCACCTTGTAGTATACAGCAGTGCAGGTATTTGATCCACCTTGTAGTATACGTCAGTGCCAGTGTGTGATCCACCCTGTAGTATATAGCAGTGCCAGTATGTGATCCATGTTGTAGTATATAGCAGTGCAGGTATGTGATCCACCTTGTAGTATACAGCAGTGCAGGTATGTGATCCACGTTGTAGTATACAGCAGTGCAGGTATGTGATCCACCTTGTAGTATACGTCAGTGCCAGTGTGTGATCCACCCTGTAGTATATAGCAGTGTCAATGTGTTATTCATTATACCCATGCCAGTATGTTACCTACCCTGCAATATATAGCATTGTCAATGTGTTACCCATATTATACTTTTTACCCATGCCGGTGTGTTATCCATCCTGTAATATATAGCAGTGCCAATGTTTTATCCATATTATACTTTTACCAATGCCATTATGTGATCCACCCTGTAATATACAGCAGTGCCAGTCTGCGATCCAGCCAGTAAGATAGCTATGCACGTGTGTTAGCTACCCGGTGATATATAGAAGTGCCAGTATGTGATCCATACTATACTACATACTTATGCAAGTGTGTTATCCACCCTGACAAATGTACAGTATAGTTGTGCCAGTGTGTTATCCACCCTATACTGCATATAGCTTTGTGATGGCCACCCTGTAATATACTGCATATAGGTTTATGATGGCCCCCCTGTAATAAACTGCATAGCAGTACCAATGTGTTACCCACCCTGTAATATATTGCACTTCCTTGTGTGATCTAACCTGTAATATATAGCAGTAGCAGTGTGTTAGCCATCATTTAATATATATAGTTGTGCCAGTACGTTATCCACCCAGTAATGTACAGCATAGCAGTGCCATGGTGTGACCCACTCTGTAATATATAGCTGTGCCAGTGTGTGATCCACCCTGTAATATATAGCTGTGCCAGTGTGTTATCCACCCTGTAATATATAGCTGTGCCAGTGTGTTATCCACCCTGTAATATATAGCTGTGCCAGTGTGTGATCCACCCTGTATTATATAGCTGTGCCAGTGTGTGATCCACCCTGTAATATATAGCTGTGCCAGTGTGTGATCCACCCTGTAATATATAGCTGTGCCAGTGTGTTATCCACCCTGTAATATATAGCTGTGCCAGTGTGTTATCCACCCTGTAATATATAGCTGTGCCAGTGTGTTATCCACCCTGTAATATATAGCTGTGCCAGTGTGTTATCCACCCTGTAATATATAGCTGTGCCAGCGTGTGATCCACCCTGTAATATATAGCTGTGCCAGTGTGTTATCAACCCTATAAATATGTATCTGTGCCAGTGTGTAATATTTAGCAGTGGCAGTGTATTACCCACCCTTTAATGTAAAGCAGTGCCAGTGAGTGTGATCAATCCTGTAATATATATATATTTATGCCAGTATGTAATCCATCCGATAATATATATAGTTGTGCCAGTGTGTTATCCACCCTGTATTATATAGCAGTGCCAGTATGTTATCCACCTTGTAGTATATAGAAGTGCAGGTACGTGATCCACCTTGTAGTATACGTCAGTGCCAGTGTGTGATCCACCCTGTAGTATATAGCAGTGTCAATGTGTTACCCACCCTGTAATATATTGCACTTCCTTGTGTGATCTAACCTGTAATATATAGCAGTAGTAGTGTGTTAGCCATCATCTAATATATATAGTTGTGCCAGTACGTTATCCACCCTGTAATGTACAGCATAGCAGTGCCAGGGTGTGACCCACTCTGTAATATATAGCTGTGCCAGTGTGTGATCCACCCTGTAATATATAGCTGTGCCAGTGTGTTATCCACCCTGTAATATATAGCTGTGCCAGTGTGTGATCCACCCTGTAATATATAGCTGTGCCAGTGTGTGATCCACCCTGTAATATATAGCTGTGCCAGTGTGTTATCAACCCTATAAATATGTATCTGTGCCAGTGTGTAATATTTAGCAGTGGCAGTGTATTACCCACCCTTTAATGTAAAGCAGTGCCAGTGAGTGTGATCAATCCTGTAATATATATATTTATGCCAGTATGTAATCCATCCGATAATATATATAGTTGTGCCAGTGTGTTATCCACCCTGTATTATATAGCAGTGCCAGTATGTGATCCACCTTGTAGTATATAGCAGTGCAGGTATGTGATCCACCTTGTAGTATACGTCAGTGCCAGTGTGTGATCCACCCTGTAGTATATAGCAGTGTCAATGTGTTATCCATTATACACATGCCAGTGTGTTACCTACCCATGCCTGTGTAATATATAGCTGTGACTGTAATGTAAGGCTGTGTGAATGTGTGACACATATAGCAGTACCAATGTATATTATGCAGCAGTGTCAGTGTGTGTGTGATATACCCTTTATATCAGTGCCAGTATGTTATCCAACCTGTTATATATATATATTTGTGCCTGTATGTTATCCATCTGATAATATATATAGCTGTGGCAGTGTATTATCCACTCTGTAAAATATAGCAGTGCCAATGTGTACTATCCACACCTTAATATATAACAGTGCCAGGGTTTGTGATCCACCCTTTATAGACGTGCCAGTGTGTTAGCCATCTTGCAATATATATTTGTGCCAGTATGTTGTTCATCTGATCATATAGCTGTGGCAGTGTATTATCCACTCTGTAATATATAGCAGTGCCAGTGTGCGTGCGACCCTTTTGTATATATATATATATATATATATATATATATATATATGGCAGTGTATTATAATATATAGCTCTGACAGTAGTATAAGGTTGTGTGAATGTGTGATCTACCCTTTATACAGTAGCAATGCTTGTATGTTTTATCCATATGTTAACATATAGCAGCGCCAGCGTGTATTATCCATGCCTTAACATATAGCAGCGCCAGTGTGTATTATCCATACCTTAACATACAGCAGCGCCAAGGTGTATTATCCATGCCTTAACATATAGCAGCGCCAGCGTGTATTTTCCATACCTTAACATATAGCAGCGCCAGCGTGTATTATCCATGCCTTAACATATAGCAGCGCCAGCGTGTATTTTCCATACCTTAACATATAGCAGCGCCAGCGTGTATTATCCATGCCTTAACATATAGCAGCGCCAGCGTGTATTATCCATACCTTAACATATGGCAGCGCCAGCGTGTATTATCCATGCCTTAACATATAGCAGCGCCATTATGTATTATCCATGCCTTAACATATAGCAGCGCCAGCGTGTATTATCCATGCCATAACATATAGCAGTGCCAGTGTGTTATCCACCCTGTAATATATAGCTGTGGTATGTAATGTATAGATGTACAGTGTATCTACACAAACACACATGGACATATATACAGTAATAAGATGACAGAGGCATGCACACCCAAGCATTGCCCACATTATCAGAAATGACAGAGCCAGCAGCCTGCACCATGCTATGTACTATTGGAAAGTGTCTGTTCTCTGCTCTCTTCTCCATAGCCTGTTGCATTGGCAGTTCTGTGCATTAGCCATAATATCTTCCTATTAGTGCTGGAGCGGCATAGAAATAAGTTTAGCTCCAGGCATGTACGGTATTGATCTCCAAACAAATCTGTTGAGTCCTGATACAAGTATGTTATGTGTCAGATGAATGAATCACAGAGCCCGCAATGCTGCCTAATCTGTATCAGAGGATACCCAGCTGTCAGGCGCTCCATCCACAACTGTCCCTGCAGGGGATTCCAGCTCCACACTATCTTTATTATGACACAAGTCCCAATCAAAGGGCATATGTTGATCTTAGACGTACTGCAGTTTGTGCTGTTTATTTAGCTTGCCTTTGATTACTAGTGTCCAGGCGGTTTCTGAAATGATCAGGCACTGTGATGATCCCCCCCCCCCCCCCCTAAAGGACAGAATGGAAGGGGGGAGCCTGGCTACTTGGATGTTATCCCCAACTATGACAGGAGAATAAATGAATAGGTCTGGCTCTATTCTCTCTACATAGACCAATTAAGTTGCACTGCTCCTCATGCATAATAAAGCTCCATTTGCACAATGCTGATTTTTATTACCCAGAAAGAAGGCTCTTTCTAAGCCTAGAACAGTTACAGAGCTCCTGATGAATACACATTTCAAGTAATTATGAAGGCAAATGAGTCAATTTCACCTTCCATGAAAGAGTCATTGTGATTACAGAACTGGAATCAAGACTCCGAGACAAGTCGTCATATTGGATCTATTTTATCCTTGTTATCTCTCAGATCAAATTGTCATTGATTTAAAAGCTTTCTCTGCTCCAGACCACAATGTTAATGGCGACAAAATGAAAATATTATAGATTGTTAACGTGTCCAAATCTCAGCTGTCTTCCTGTACAAGCAATATGATCTGTGCTTTGTGCTCAGACCAGCATCACAGGCGGCTTGTGTTTATTATTGGGAGGGGGGGGGGGGTAATGAATTGTGCTTATGATCACTAATATCACTTACACTCCATGTGGATCTGCTCTTCTACAACTCCTCTATAGGGGATCAATACACTTGGTGGCATAGGGGTTCACATTCATAATCCCACCGATGGGTTTCTAATTGGCTTATGCACAATGACACCTAAATAAATGTTTTCATTTGTTCCCGGATCAATGTCATATGAGGCAGCTCAGGAGATGAAGGTGTCTATAGCAGAGCTACAGCGAGCAGCACCCTGGACAGCGAATGTCCCATCCAGAGCCAGCACTGCCCAGGTCTGCCCTCCACCCTGTCTAATCATGGCTGAACCGAAAAGGATACTTTCCTCTCCATTTATTACATAGCAACACAAACCATCTCATGTATCTACGTATTAATGTGCTTTATGTATTTATACTAACTTTATGCCCATTCAGATGTACAGACAATACATTGCTATCATTTACAGCAGTGTCACTGTCTTGTAGCCACAGGTAATACTTGAAGGAAAAAGAAAAGACAGAAAGGTAGGTTGATAGCCTTTCTTTAGTTTATTGATCAAGTGTTTCATTTTGGATGTGAGCTATACTGTACATTTCATCTAACACACGAATAAAAGGGTGCTACTTTATTATTTTACAGCAGCCTTGAAGTAAGATTATGTTCCAGAACTAAAGTGTGCAATTATGCTGTCTCTTTCTCTTTCTTTATTCCACCGTTCCATCATTTTTATTACTAAGAATCTGTAATTAGGTCTGTCTGTCGACCTTTTTATCTATCTATCTATCTATCTATCTATCTATCTATCTATCTATCGTTTTATCTTATCTATCTTTTTATCTATCTATCGATCTATCTGTCTGTCTATCAACCTTTTTATCTATCTGTCGATGTATCAACCTTTTTTTTCTCCTTTCTTTCTTTTTCTTTCTTTCTTTCTCTTCTTTCTTTCTTTCTTTCTCTTTCTTTCTTTTTCTTTTTCTTTCTTTCTTTCTTTCTTTCTTTCTTTCTTTCTTTCTTTCTTTTTCTTTCTTTTTTTCTTTCTTTCTCTTTCTTTCTTTCTTTCTCTTTCTTTCTTTCTTTCTCTCAGAGATATACATCTCCTTTTTATCTCCAGAGATATCTATCTATCTATCTATCTATCTATCTATCTATCTATCTATCTATTTTTTTTTCTTTCTTTTTTTATGTATCTATCTATCTATCTATCTATCTATCTATCTATCTATCTATCTATCTATCTGTCTATCTGTCTATCGACCTTTTTATCTATCTGTCGATGTATCAACCTTTTTTTTCTCCTTTCTTTCTTTCTTTCTTTCTATCTCCAGAGATATACATCTCCTTTTTATCTCCAGAGATATCTATCTATCTATCTATCTATCTATCTATCTATCTAACCTTTCATATCTATCTATCTATCTATCTATCTATCTATCTATCTATCTATCTATCTATCGACCTTTTTATCTATCTGTCGATGTATCAACCTTTTCTTTCTTTCTTTCTTTCTTTCTT